AGCCTTGCCTTTTGTCAAGTTATTTCCCCTATAGGTTTCAACTTCACTTTGTGTACCCACTTGATATCAATTACCTTCTTGCCTTGAGGAAATTAGACAAGTGACCAAATGTTGCTGACTTCGATGGACTTCAATTCCTCATTCATAGCTTTCACCCACTTCGACTCTTTCAATGCCTCAGTTGCATTGACAGGTTCAACATCTGCATAGAAAGCATAATGTACCAGCTCACCTTCATCATCGAGCATATCATTTGATGTAATCATATAATCTTGCAACTTTTCAGGCATGTGTCTAGTTCTCCAAGGTCTGCTTGGGCCTGCATCACCTCTCACTTCTTCTTGTCGAACTTCTGTTTCGAATTTAGTGTCTGATTCTTCACAAAAGATTATCACTGAATCCTTGTTTACATTTTCAGTCCAATCCCATTCCTTAAGCTTATCTATGATCACGTACCTGTTGATCATAATCAGCTTATTCACTTGGTCGAACAACTTGTAACCTCAAGTCAAATGATATCCTATTAAGATCATTTGATTCAACTTGTCATCAAGTTTTCTTCTTAATGGATCTAGCACATTTCTATGTGCAATAGATCCAAATACCTTCAGATGAATCAAGCTAGGCTTCACACTAGAACAACATTCTTCTAGCATAATTCCTTCTAGCTTCTTCGTCAGACATCTGTTTAAGATATATGTTGCATTCGACACAGCTTCACCCCAAAACTCTTTAGGTAAATGCTTGACTTTCAACATACTTATCACCATATTCATGATGATTTGATTCTTCCTTTATGCAGTTCCATTTTGTTGTGGAGTGTAGGGTGACACCACCTCATGCATAATCCCTTCTTTCTCATATAAGATGTCGAAGTCTTTCGCCACATATTCTCCACCATCATCAGTCCTCAAAATCTTGAGCTTTCGACCACTTTGTCTTTCGACCATAGACTTAAACTAGGCAAATACCTCGATCACTTCACTTTTATTCTTAGTCAGGTAAGTCCACGGTTTTTGACTAAAATCATCTATGAATGTAACAAAGTATTTATTACCTCTATTCGAATCCACTTGGATTGGTCCACATACATCAGAGTATGTGATTTCAAGAATAGGATTCGACTTGCTTCCTGCATCATTGCTAAAGCTATTCTTGTGCTGCTTCGCCTGCACACATTCCTCACATACCTCGTTTGGAATGTCGATTTATGGTAACCCTGATACCATATTTTTTCTTTTCAAATCTATGATATCTTTGAAGTTAAGATGGCCTAGTCGATAATGCCATATCCACTCATGTCTTCTAGCTGCAGTCGCAAGACATTTGTTCTCCATCACATTTAGTTCAATCTTAAAGGTTCTATTGTGATACATAGGATCCTTCAAGATTAAACTTTCATTTGCATCAACGACTCTCATCATCTTGTCTTTGATCAACACTTTATAATTATTTTTGACCAACTGCCCTATATTGAGGAAATTTCTCTTTATTCCTGGTATGTACAACACATCAAAAATTAGTGACCTCTTGCCATCTTTCCTCATAATCAGAACATCTCCAATACCTTCAGCTGCTAGAGTATTATCATTTGCAAATTTCACCATGTTCTTCATCGATGGCTTTATGTTGACAAATCAATATTTCCTTCCAAACATATGTGATGAGCATCCTGAATCCAAATACCACTGGTCCTTGTATTTTTCTTCATCTCTTGTTGTGAGCATCAACATCATCTCTTTTTCTTCATACTTTGCAAACTTTGCATCACTTTCTTGATTCACTTGTTTTTATGGACAATCACTAGAATAGTGACCATACTTCTGACAAATGAAACACTGAATGTGACTCTTGTTAGGCTTTCGACCACACCTCTTCCTCTACCTCCAACACCCCCTCTTTGGTTACCTTGGTATAGGGTCTTCTCTGATTTGACACAATTAATTTCTATCGCTCTCCTCTACCAATTGAATTGTTGTAGCCTCATATACCTTTGTTGTCGAACCACTTTCCTTTGTCTTTCTTTTCTCTTACTGATTGCGCATGCAAAGCCATACCACTCTTCAAATTTCCTGCAACACTTTCAGTCATTCTTTGTTCATGAGATTCGAGTGTCCCTTTAACCTCTTCTTTTGTCAAAGTTGATATGTTTTTTTGACTCTTCTATGGCAACTACCACATGGTCGAACTTCGGAGCTAAAGATCTCAAGATCTTTGAAACAACCGCTCTTGTTGTTAACGTCTCTATACAAACCTTGATTTGATTCACTAGTTTTATAACCCTAATGAAGAAATCAATTATGATTTCACTTTCTTCTATCTAAAGCAATTCATATGTTCTTTTGTGAGTTTGTAACTCACCTCTTTCACCTTTTCTGCATCTCCAGAAGACTGTTCCAGAATTTTCCAAGCTTCTTTCACAGATTCCACATCACTAACTTTTTTGAAATTGTCTGGACTTAGACATTGATGAATTATAAAGAGACATTTATAATTCTTCTTCTTCAATTCTTTGTGTGTTGCCTCTTCTTCTTTTGGTGCTTCTTCTGCAAACAGTTCTAATTCTTCTTTCACAAGATCCCAAAGATCTTGATAATAGAACACAATATTCATCTGCTTGCACCAATTCTCATAGTTATCAATTTTCAGAATTGGAAGAGTTTCTAGAAAATTCCCGTTTGGATTGTTCATTGCCATCGTGATTTTCTTCCATTGAATCGCTCAATCGGAGTTCTAGATACCAGATGTTAGAAATCCACCAAAATCTGTGATGAATTTCTATCAGTCTTAATGAACAATATTGTTATCATCACACAACGACAATGAAAAGAAAGAAAATTGAGGAAAAAAGAAAATTAGGTTTTGACAAAATATGGTGAAGATGATGATTTTCTGCAGAGTTTATCTCTGTCCATAAACTGTAGAAAAACTTATTCACTTGCAACTACAAATTCTATGAATACAAGTTGTGTATAATAATAGAGATTACTCCCTCTATTTATAGTTTTAGGTTAGCTTTCTCCCTAAGCTAAAACCCAAAACTAAAAAAGCTCTAAATAACTATTTTAGCCCTAAGTCAAAATCCTGTGCCAAGCAAATTGCTTTGACACTTCGACATATGAAACACAACTCGACATACTAAGCATTTCAACACACACTAGGACTAGTTTCGATACACCCTTGTCTTGTCGAGCAACATGCTGCTTCGGCACAAGAAATTACAATCTCAACAATCAATCCTACTGCTTGTGAGAGTCTCTATGAAATCTTGGAGGGGGCCTTTGACCCAGAAGAGCATTCAAAGATACTTTCCTTTCTCTGCTTGTACTCTTACTCCTCATCTTCCATGCAAATATAAATTTACAAATTTTTAAAGGCGAAACCATATCTTTATGACTTCAAAGACATACATATAAATTAAATACACTTTAAAATAATTAAATTTAAAAACCGATATATGACAAAATAATTTGATGATGAGCGTACCTTAGACAGGGTTAGGATTAGATAACTTTAAGGAGGGAAAGGTATGGTGTCTTTCTCTCTATATGTCTTCAATATTCCTCTCTCCCATCCTAATTATTATGTTTATTTTATTCATTTTTCATTTAAAATACCCAAAAATACACTAAAGGCACCATGCATTTCCCTCCCTAAAGTTATATAATCCCACCCACCTAAGGTGTTTTATTCACTATCTGTTGGCTCCTAAATTCGACACCCTTGTTTTATTAATATCAGCCATTAAAGCTGAAGGATGTTTTCGACCAGCTGGGTCTGTCGAAATGCCCATCGAAAGATGGCAATGTACTTAGAGGATTTCTTCCAAGGGAGAAGTTGGTTGCCTTCGACGTCGAAAGTGTTTCTCGTCGGAGATGCTTCTCGACGAAGGTGTTCGATGGTTCAGAGTGGAACGGTTTGAAATTCAAGCGTTTGGAGGGAAAACGGTTTCCAGCGGTTACCAAGTGCAACGTGCAAAGATCTGGAGCGTCGAACGCTGAGAACGTGCCAAGTGGAGTCATCTCGAAGCAGTGTAACTGTCCGACGGTTACTTGGGATGTTTTAGTATAAATAGTAGTAGGTCACGCAGTTTTTCGCGTGTGTTCACAATTATATACAAAGTCACTCATATAGATTCGAGTACCCAGCGTGTGAGAAAGAATTGTTGAGAATGTATGTGTGAAATACCACTTTTATTAATCAAAGTCATTTACTTTCCAGAAACTTTACTTGCTTTCTTCTTTACTTTTCCTGTCGAAGCCTTTTATTTCAAGCCTTCATTTATTTTATCAAGCCCATTTCTTCATGCAATTTACTTAAAGCCTCTTTATTTCCTTACCATTTAACCATTATCCAATTTAATCAAAACCTCAAAATCAACCATGTCTTAGGATCAATCTGATCGATCCTGCGAGTAACCAAATAAGTAACCATTTGGAGGATCAACGGTTGTTTACCAATAACCACGGTAAACACTATCTTAATGACAAGTGTATTTATATATAATTTTAGGTGGTAAATTTTTGGCTACCCCTTATAAATTTAGGGGTAATTTACTTTCTTATGACATATATCAATCAAAATTTCTCATATAAAGTAAAATTTTAAAATCACATATTAATCTAAAACAAAATGAAATCAAAAAAATAATATATAACTTGATTTATGAGTAATAAGATATTGGCATGTAAAGTGTGAATAATAATTCTCATATTAGATGGAAAAAGAGGATATTAAAATTTTTTTAAAGTGAGAAAAGACATAAATCCAATATTCTAAGGTTTTGAATTAGTATGTGATTTTAAAAATTAATTTTATGTGATAAAATTTCATTAATATATATCATTGAAGATAAATTACCGTCAATTTTATAAGGGATAGTCTAAGCCTAATCTATTAGGTTTTGTATCATTCATGTTAATTTGTTATCATTTTCTATTTTCTTTGAATTCATTTTCTTCTCTATATTTGTACACCATCAGCTTATGTATCCGCACAAAATGGCTTTTGAAATAAAAAGGGATATTCGCTTGCATACCTTCTTAGGCGCTTTGTTCAGTATCTTAATGACAAGTCAAAGTTCTGATACTGATATCTTGTGTTTAATGTCCATTAAGAGTTCCTTGGAAGATTCAAATAATTACTTATTCTCAAGTTGGAACTTCAACAACAAAACGGAAGGTTTCATATGTAGGTTCAATGGAGTTGAATGTTGGCATCCTGATGAGAATAGAGTACTAAATCTTAAACTATCGAACATGGGGTTGAAGGGTCAGTTTCCACGTGGCATTGTTAACTGCTCTTCAATGACCGGGTTAGACCTTTCAAACAATGAGCTATCAGGAACCATTCCATCTGATATATCAAACCTACTCCAATATGTTATCACTATTGATCTCTCTTATAACAAATTCACAGGTGAAATTCCAATAGATTTAGCAAATTGTACTTACCTGAATGTCCTTAAACTTGACAACAACATGTTAAGCGGTGAAATTCCTAAAGAACTAGCCCAACTTACCAGGCTTAAAGAGATTTCTGTTGCTAACAATGATGGACTTTGTGGAGGGCCGGTCTTGAGACCCTGCTCCTTGACACATGACAAGCACGGAGATTTTCATCAATCATTTAAGGATGGTCTTATTGTTGGTTATGTTTTTTCAATCATTTTTTCTGTTATGATCAGTTGTATGTTCTACTCCAAATGTGCACATTGGCTGCATCAATTGAAGAAAAAGAAAAACAATCACATAAACAAAGTTGTAGAATTGGGAAAATATATTTGCTCCATCACCAACATGAGGAAGCAGATGGTAGTTAATCAGATACGTGAATTGTTACAAATGCGGTGGGCACACAAAGAAAGCAAAGAGGTACTCCTCTCTTCATTAATTTTTTCATTAATTTTTATAGTTTAACAATGTAAAATAAACTTGCTCATTCATCCATAGATTGATGTACTATGTAAAAGATTGACCTCGACAATATGGCTGGAAGAACTACATGATGCAACCGATTGTTTCTCCGTGGACAATACCATTGGAGTAGGAAAGATGGGAATGATGTACGAAGGATTTATGCCTAATGGTAAGTTACTAGCTGTTAAGAGATTATTTGACTCTCAGAAATTTAAAAGGCAGTTCCTTTTAGAAACAACGATTTTGTGCAAATACAGACACCAAAATATAATTCCCTTGCTTGGGTTCTGCATTGAAGGAAAGGAAAGGCTTTTAACATATGAATACATGTCAAATGGAAGGCTTTCCAAATGGTTGCATCCTTTGGAAAGTGAAATCTTAAGATTGAAATGGCACGACAGAGTCAACATTGCACTTGGAATTGCTAGAGGATTATCATGGCTACATCATACATGTGAGTTGTGCATAGTGCATTTTAATATATGTTCCGAATGCATATTACTAGATGAAAATTTTGAACCCAAAATATCCAATTTTGGTGAGGCAAAATTTATGAATCCTAACACTGAAGATCATCTAGGGATGATAATTAAAGTGAATGATGGAAAGAAGGATGTATATGACTTTGGAAGTGTTCTTTTTGAATTGATTACAGGGAAAACTTTTGATGAATTGTCTCATTCATATGACACTACTAATATATGTAGTAACCCTTTGAGTTTTTATAATATAATTGATAAATCTTTGACTGGTGAAGGATTTGACAATGAAGTTTGTACTCTTCTAAATATTGCTTGTGAGTGTGTCAAACCTTTACCGGACCAGAGACCAACAATGTTTGAAGTTTACAAAAGTATAAGTAAAGTAAGGAATGGACGAAATGGATATGGCGATGATTGTGACACATTAAAGGGATTAGAATGTACTTCTATTACTATGGATGAAATTATTGAGGTTTAGAAATTAGAACATGTCTCTACATCCAAATATTTTGTTATGTTGGAAAATAATAATCTTATCGAGTATCATTGTAATAAAAAATTGTATTGCTCTTAGAATAATGTTACTTTATTCTTCAAAATGTGTATAAATAATCAATAATATAGACACCAAATCGTGCTAATCATTCATTTCATGCTATAGTAACAAGTTGATGAAAAATCATGATGCATATTCCCAAATTTGAACTCACATATGACAAAACATGGTGGACTTGCTCCAACAATTTAAGATTCTGCTTCCCAAATGTTGTTGGACAAGTAAATCCTGCTTTGACTACGTTAGAAACATTACTGTCTAAATTTTCCCACCATCTTATTTGGATGATTCGCAGTTGAATACATACAAAAGCAATTTCATTCTAATGTCACTTACATTGTGTCTAATGTTTGTACTTTGTAGTAGTTTGGGATTTAAGGAAGAAAACAAAAGATGCGGCACGATGAGCATGTATACAAGAAATTCGGGAAAAAAATTTAGGTACACACAAACATAATATTTGGTTTTATAAACCATCAGTCACATTTTTTTATTAATTAAAAAATAAAAATATAATATTATTTCTCTTTCATAATGACAATCACCCTATAATACTAATTTAAAAAGAAATTAAATTTTAAATAAATAAAATACTTTTTCTATTCTTATTGATTGTTTGTAACAATAAGAGTTTATGTTCGTATGTGTAATACGGTGAGAGAACTGACTTTTTGGTTTTATTCAAATGTGCGGATAGCAAGAGTCGTCACCGATATTTCTTTTATCCAATATTTAGGAAATAGTGAAAAGAACAGCAAAGACATTCAATAGATTTTGAGTTCGGGGAGTAAGTTATATAAAAAGAAGGTGTTAGCACAATTTTCATCCGTAGTTATCTACAAGCTCTTAATCGCTAGCTCACTTTTGAAAAAAAAATTTGTGTGTGATTTGAAAAGCTAAAGTACGACTAACTTTGTAATGGTTCTTGTATCAGTCCTCAAGAACGCGTATAAAGTGTTTTTTTGAAAATATTTTGAAAGTGTGATGTGTAAAAATTCCTTTTAAAAAAGATTGTGAGCAAGCGATTAAAAGTTCCTTACCCACTAAAGGTCGTTCTTATTTTTTTCCTTCTCATTTAGAGATAGTACTATCCATACCATTAGTTGGTAGGTAGCCCTATCTATTAGATGTGAAGGACAGACGTAGGGTCATCGATAGGTCATTGAAGACAACAAATAGTGATACTTTAGTAATTTATCAGAAGACTAGATCATTTTTCATAGACAACATCGAAGGATCATCGAGGGACTATGATCTTTATTCGAAGGGACTTTGCTAAAGTATCCTTATTTCAAGGGACATGACCAAGTTTCCGAAGGCACCGAAGAGAGGTTACCCTAGAGGTGCAAAGTATGAATAGTGCGTTGAGTTCAGTTATTTATCTTATATTAGGGTTATCTATCGATTGTTTTTTTAGATCTTGCCATACATACCTAGTTACTAGCAGTTGATTATATATATAGCAGGAAAAGTAAAGTGCGGAAAGTAAATCCTAAGTTATTACAGGGCTTTGGGGCAGTTACATAAAAAGATGTGGAAAATAAAGTGCAGAATTTAAACCCTAAGCTTTTACATCCCGTAAGCAGTTACATAATAGGTCAAAAATGCGGAAAGATAAATCTAAACTATTACAAGAAAAAGTCGTGCGACCTATACAATCGTCTAAGAATTTAAATGCAAAATAAATGATAATAAAATAAATGTTTGAATGTGATTTTTATGAAATTAATTTGATGTTAATTAAATAGTTAAAACCCTAAGTCTAATTAATTTTAATTAATAAAAATCTTAAAGTCTAATTAATTTTAGTTTTAAGAAAATACTAATTAATCTAATTAATAAATAAATAAATGTCAAAATTAATTATTGATTAGAAAACATAAACCTAATTATTAGGGTTTTGCAAAAAAGATTAAAATTGATTGATAGTTAATTAAGAAAAATAAGTAGGGTTAAGGGAAAAATTAGGGTTAGTAATCAAAAGAAATAAGGTCAAAAAGAAAAAAAAATGTAAAACTGCATTGGGTGGGTGTTGAATCCATGCCCTCCTGCCTTCTGCCTTGCCTTGCTTGCCACTGAACCAAGCGCTCGTTGGTGTTTGGAGAATAGACGTTGCACATAATATATGAAACCTGCGTGTTAATTATAAAAATAACAAAAAAAATATGGTGAAGCGCCAGGATCGAACCCACGCCCTTACTTTCACAACTCAACGCCTTGACCAGCGGTACTATGCCCTCATCCGTGTACCAAATAGAAACGAAAAAATATATTTTAAAAGTGGACCAGAGAGGCGCTGGAGCCCTAGCTCTGGTCGTCTTCTCCGGTGAGTTGTTTTTTGAAACCTGCAAAATAGAACACGTTAATACACAAAAAGGACCCTACCCCCCTAAATTGACCCTTGTGAATCCATTGGTGGCCTTAGTTTTGGCTAAATCGTCCTGTACAAAGAGATATGAACAAGATAATGCAAATCAGTGTTCGAATGGTGATGCACGATTTTGACATCATAGGACTCATGCAAGGGTTCAGACCTGCATTGTTATGTCTCAAAAACACTATGCAAACGTTAGTTTTAATCAAAGCATAGTAAAAAGTAAAACATAAATTCACAAAAACATGTAAACGAGTCATGCTTGAGATGCTTGTTTCATGCACTTTTGATCATCAAGGGTGATCCCAACTTACTCTATAATGTCTCAATAACCGATTTGGATGGTTAGTTCTCTTTGAGAGGGGTTGGAAATAGGATTGCAAGTTTGCCCTAATTTTGACAAAAGTTGATATTTTTGAGAGAGTTCTCGAGGCAAGTTTTTCGTGTCTTTATTGTCTGAATGTTTAGGGTAATTATAAGAGGACTAGATTAGGTAAAAGGCGGGCTTGGACCTCTTGTAAAACAACCTTTGATTCTTGTTTGACAATAAAATTGGAATAAGACAAAACATAAAGATTTGTTTTGAAAATAACCTCACACGGTTTGCAGCATATCTTTGGGCCTCCATAATATTTGAAACAAAAGCCTTTGATATTTATTTGATTTAATTTTAAATTTAAATGAATAGATTTAGAGGTCCATTATGAGGTCAAGAACATGTTTGGACTCTAAAAGATAATTCCATTAGCCCAAAAATTCAAGTTTGCTCAATTTGGGTTTCATACATTTTCTCAAAATTTCCCAAATTGCACCAATCATAACTCTATCAAATTTTGTCATATGAGGGTGATCTTGGACTTTTTGAAAAGCTCAACATGTCCCCTACAACTTACACATTGGTCATTTTTCCATTTGAAGATTTTATCTTAATGTAAATTGCTTTGACAAAAAGTGTCTTTTTGTTGACTTTTAAATTACCTGTAATATTTTGGCTCATGTCTCTCAAATGAAGTATTTTTGGCCTTGAGCTTAGAGAGACAAAGTTGTAGAGAATTAAATTTACTTCAAAATAGGATTTGGTTGAGAAAAATCTGATGAAGTATGTGTAAGTTATGCTTGGTCAAAGTTCAGTTGACTTCTCCTAAAGAAACCCCTAATTTAGTAATTTTTGACTTTTGATGAATCTTGAGTTTTCTTGATGAATTATGATCAACCCATGATGAAATGATGAATATGACTTCAAAATGTTGATGTTGAATGTGGAAGAGGATTGAACACTTAAGCTCCCAGAAATTTACACTCGTATGTGCATGAAGCAACACTTACTGGTTGATTGTATTGCTTGAATGGGCTTAAAGATGCCATTCAGAGAGGTGATAAAGTGTCGCCAGAGATGGGCTTAAAGATTCCATATGAAGTAACTGTTGATAGGAGTATCAGAATGAGTATACTCCTGACTGTATCTGAAGAATGCTTTTTAGAAAATCTCTGAAGGGAAATTCTTTTTAGAACAAAGGCCCTGAAGGAGATGCTTTTCAGAATTCCGTCTCTGAAGGGGAAATGCTTTTCAGAACGATCTTCTGAAGGAGATGATTTTCTAAATAAACTTATGAAGGGAGATGATTGCCAGAACTCGGTCTCTGGGGGGATGCTTTTCAGGATTCTGTCTCTGAATGGGAAATGCTTTTCAGAATGAAACGCTGAAGGAGATGCTTTTCAGAATAAACTTATGAAGGAAATGCTTTTCAGAACGAAGTGATGAAAAGGAAATTCTTTTTAGAACTCCTCTGAAGGAAATGATTTTCAGAATAAACTTCTTAAGGGAGATGCTAGTCGGAACTCGGTCTCTAAGGGGAATGCTTTTTAGGATTCTGTCTCTGAAGAGGAAATGCTTTTCAGAATGAAGCGCTGAAGGAGATGCTTTTCAGAATAAACTTCTGAAGGAAATTCTTTTCAGAACGAAGCGCTGAAGGGGAAATTATTTTCATAACTCCTCTGAAGGAAATTCTTTTCACAATAAACTTTTGAAGGGAGATGCTCGCCAGAAATCAGTCTCTAGGGGGAATGTTTTTCAGGATTCCGTCTCTGAAGGGGAAATGTTTTTCAGAATGAAGCGCTGAAGGAGATTTTTTTAAGAATAAACTTATGAAGGAAATGTGTTGTACCCCAAAATTTTCCCTCCCATTTTCTTCAAGACATTCTTCTAGAGTTCTCAAATGCTCACGAATTGATCAGACAAATTCTCCTCCTAAGCAATGGGTCCATAACTAGGGTTTTGTATTTTTCAAGGAAGTTTGGGTTGCAAAGATAGGTTCAACCCACTTAAGGATGGGCCAACAAGAGGTCAATCTTTCCACAATGAAGTCTCCATTTTTTCTGTAGCGATAGAAATGTCGAGAATAAGCCATTGGATTGACTTGACTCGCACAGATCCAAATAAAAATCGGCACCGCGCTTTATTGTTTCCAAAGGAATGGGAAAAGAGTGAATAACTAAAAAAGAGGGGGGGAGAATCTAAGTTCGGGGGTTGGTTATGCAAATGGAAGGT